TTTGCAATTCTTCCTGGTATCCATACGAGCTTCAGCCCCTGCGTGTCTCTGAACACAACCACCCTAGCAGGAAAGCCTCTTGTGAAACGTGTAGGTTTTCCTACGTACAAGTTGGGGGGGGGGATTGTAAGCCTCCCACAGCCGTGAGTTCGAGATAGGCAGCCGTAAATTGAAATAAACAAACTATCAAACGGAGCGGAATTACCATTTAAATTCCCCTTTTTCCATCTCCCTTTCTTCACAACCGGGGCCGCCGACAGAGGCAAAGTTTTGCAGACCCGGTCTTTTAATTATCTTAAAATTAAAGGGACTGGCGAAGAGACACAAACAGTTTCGCTGTGCTTTTCCAACCCCCTCCGTTCCTTTGCCGCCCAACCTCAAAGTTTACAAAATATCTCCCCCCCCCCGCCTTCCTGTCCGTTTCAAGCTCTTTTACATTAACCTGTTCGTCTCTGCGCCTTTATAAAGAACCCTTTATTTGTCCAGCTCGGTGGAAGATTTGAGACCTGCATTTGCGCAAGATGCTAACCTTGGTTAGCAAGGGGCTTCTTCTGAAATGTTAGCGTGCAGCATGGCTTTGAGCGTTCCTCCAGGGGGCTAGTCCTCATGACTCTCGGATGGAACCTGTCTTTCCATCGCCCAGCCAGGCTCCCCGGTGGGAACTGAAGCATTTTTGTCTTCTTAATCCAACTGGCCCAGCCATCTTTAAATTAAGGGGGGCGGGCGGGGGGAGGCTCGTAATTCCTTGCTAGGGATGATGGGAGCCGCCATTCAACCTTTCAATTGGGAAAGACGGGAGTGAAAATACTTCCCGGGGCAATTGCGTTCCTCGCCCCTTCGTTCACTCCCCTCTCCCGCAGATGGGCACACGCAGTTTTGCATTTCTCCACGCCTATCAGACAGAAGAGATTTCCGTCTTCTTCCAGCCCGACAGAGAGACCAGTCCTTTTATTTGACACGCAAAACACGCACACAATATTAATTTTTGCTCTTGCGAGGAGCCATCCGCCCCTCAAAGGAGACCACATCAGCAGTCAAAGTCAACCGCCCCCCCTTCTGCGCGGCCGCACCCTCTCCCGCACGGTGCCAGGTTGTCATCCCACATGTCTGGCTCCAAGAGGGCCCCACCCTCTATTTCCTCCACAAACCTGGGGGGTAAAAAGCCTTCCAGCTCCCGGCCCCGTCTTGGAAGGTCCCCTTTGCCAGCATACCAAACGGCGGTCCCTCCACCAAAGTGTATTTCTGGGGCTGTATCCCACGACCCACCGAGATACAGTCCAAGTTTTTAACAAGCCCCCAGGCTCACAGCGGGAGGAACAATACTGAGCTGTGTGGATCAGTGGTCTTGACTCAAGATGAAAACAGCTTCCTACGTTCCGGTTTATTCAGAAGCCATGAGGACTAGAACTTTACTTCCCTGGTTGGCGGAACAGCCAGCGCCCGGCAGCGGAACCCTTGCGCGCGAATTCGTCCCAAGTTCCAACCCCTGGTTGGAAAGGATACAGGACACAGGCACCCCCTTTTCCAACGTCAGGAAAGTCACTACTGTGCCCCCTTTGGACAGAGCATTTGAAGGCGCTTTAGGTGCCCCCCCCCCCCCCCTGAAAAAGGAAAGGTGTCTTTATTCCAGCAACCCAGTTCTGAATACCCTCGGCTTTTCTGAGCCAAGAGTTAGCTCACCTCGGAGCCAACCGCGAGCCTCGGGGGGAGTGGGGGTGTGTGTCAGCCTTTGGTGCCCTTCCAGCTGGGTCTCTGCATCCTGGCAGACTGCCCCAGATGTAGAAGAAGGGAGGAGACTTTCTGTGGCATTGGCCCTTTGCCCAGCGGTGAGCAGATGGGTCCTTTCTGTCGGTGCCACCTGGCTCGGGAGCAAGGCGAGGGCCCCCAGCACTGGCCCCTGGTTCAGACACTGGTTCGGCAAGTAGCCGGCTGGCAAAGCCGGGACGAGGGGGGAGGGGCTGTTTTTTCGGAGGTGCTGATCACCCATCGGTAGCAGTGGGTGACGCTCCGACTCTTGGCGTGAGCTCCGCAGCGGGTACAGTAGACAATGCCCAGGGCCAGCATGATGACCAGGAAGACGGAGATGGGCACCAGCAGGGCCACCAGTAGCCAGCGGTCATCCCTCCTGTGCCATCCTTGCTCCTCCCCAGAGGCTGGGCTGGGGCTGGCGAAGGTGGGGAGGGGGGCCCTGACTCCCCCGACAACAGGGTCCTCCTTCCCGTCCTCGGGACTGGATCCTCTGGGAGGCAGGGGCTGCGTGGTGATTAAAGGTATCCGGCGAGTGCTGGGTTCCGCTGGGTCAGCGGGCGCCTCCGGGGGGGGTGGAAGGGCCCCCGTGATGGCAAGGGGCAGGGACCCGGTGGGCGTGGGAGGATCGGCAGCGGGGGTGGTGGGATGGAGACCCGGGGAGGAAGGGCCGTGCTCCAAGGGAGAGACTCGCGAGTCCCAGGCATTGTCAAGCTCGGGGGCTGCTGTGGCGGGCATCCGCGGGGGGAAGACCAGCCTGTCTGGCACCGACAAGAAGGAAGCGGCGGAATCCGACGAAGAAGAACCCGCCTCCGCCTCCCGGAAGAGCGAGAACCGGACCGGTGGGGCGCTGAGGTCGTCCGCCCGCCGGGTGGTGAAGCGCACTTGGAAGGGGTCTGCCCAGACATCCGGGGGGGTGGCGGCGGGCAGCCCCAGGGCATCCACCGGGCTGCAGCTGATGCCGTCGGCCTCCAGGTCGAAGCCCTCGGTGCAGTAGCACTCGAAGCCGCCCACGTAGTTGACGCACATCTGCTGGCACACGCCGGGGATCTGGCACTCGTCCGTGTCCACGCACTGGCCCGGCTCCTCCTCGGACGGGCTGAAGCCCAGGTGGCAGCGGCAGAGGAAGGAGCCCTCCGTGTTCTCGCACTGGTGCTCGCACGGCCCGTCGGCGCACTCGTCCAGGTCCTCGCACTGGTGCCCGTCGGCCGCCAGCTCGTACCCGGCGGGGCACCGGCAGCGGTAACCGTCGCCGCCGCCGTCCTCCTCGGGCACGCAGTCGAACTGGCAGGGCCGGTGGCGGCAGGGGTTGTTGGCGACGCAGGAATGGCCGTCGGGCAGGAGCA